GGTGTGTGTTTTTCTGGCTTGAGAATGTGCATAGCTCATTACAATGGATGAGCTCACTTTTACTCCTATAGAGATTCAGGTTTTGTTTTGTTTTGTTTTGTTTTTAGTTTCTGGAATTCCATCTCAACAGTGAGGATCCAAACTGTAGGTCTGAAGAAGCACTTGCTTGTGTAGTGGGAAAGTAGCAATAAACAGATGCCAAATGGAGTGGAAGGAGTAGATGAATTTACAGTGCTGAAATGTTAAGACTCTAATTGACATCATTTCTTCAGTTACACCATATCTGTATTTTCAGAGAGTTCCACCTGGAGAAAAATGTAACGAGTTGGAGCAGCTCAAGTTCATGACCCAGAGTCCACCCAGCTCTGGTCTAGGGAACAGGGAAACTATCCTGTGGGTGCCAGTTACAGATTGTGGGTCTCACCAGGCCTGGGACAATGAAGAAAATACATTGCTTCTGGGCTGGCCCAGAGTTTTAGACTCTCTGTGATGAATTCACTCTGTTGCCACCTTTGTTTAAAATAAAAATAAAGCAATATGCACTCCCATAAACTATTTAGTGAAGCCAAAAATAGCCCCCAAAATATCCTTTATTACATTTTTAAGACTCTAAATATTTTGAAGCAGTTTAATAGCATTGCATCCTGACTTAGATTCTTTCAATTCCTTAGGTAATGAAGGTTTTGAATCTGGGACTTTACAACAATGAGAAGGTGGGAATAAACCTAGTTACCTACAAAAGCAATTTTAAAACACCTATTTTTTAAAAAGGGAAATATCCCTTTTCCAAATTGAGCTAAGCTATTCTACATGGATATTATCTGATATTTGGAGTAATACAGCTTATCTGTTTTCTGAAGGACATGCTGGGAACATTTTTAAAAAGTGGTTTATTGACTATATCAGTAAAATAATACTGTATTGCTTACAAAAAAGCTGGAACAGTTGTAAAATTCTTAAAGTTTTAAGGATGTTTGGTGTTTTGATGGGCAAAGAGTTTATAAGATAAGGTGTCCCCAAAACTAATTTGATTTCTTCTGCAGTTTGCTAACAATGGTATTCTTTAGTGACCCACAAAAACATTTAGATGATAAGATGGCCAGAATACTCTTTAAAGTCGGCATTATATTTTAGAAGTAGGAATGTAAAGTGAGATCTCTTAATTCTACTGAAGAGTCTAGATGGTTTCTAACTAAAGAATTAGCTTCCCCTTTAAAGGCAAAATTTGTAGAGTTTAGCAGTTAACTCTAGGAATTGCAGCATAGAAAACTTGATAAATATTTATTGAATGAAAGGATATTTATTCCTGAAAAAGCTGTACGTGAATCTGTTTTTTGTAAATGAATCATACTTTTACATTTATTATGATTCATTTTGTAAGACAAATAATCTCTCCCAAATTTGTATTTGTGGTAAACCCAGATTTTCATAGTTCAGAATTGCTTGGAATTAGGACACCTTTAAAGTTCCTTGTGTTGTGTAACTTCTGGTTTATTCTTTGAGGTTGCTAAGGTACAGAAAGTTTGATATATTTTTTTAAGAGCAACAATTATTCACCAGTTTATAAACAATTGAGTAAAAATAGATTTCTAAGGATCTTCAATTTGTAATTGATAAATCATTCATGCTGAAATAGTTGGCCTTGATTCTTTTTCTACTTGAGAATGTGGAATGTTTTATAAACACGTTGAGAGTTACAAATATAGGAGGAAGAAAGAAAAATTGCACTGTCAGTAATGTGATGATATACATTTGTGCATACATGAAATTTCAATCAAAGCATTCTAATACAGGTAATAAAGCGTGTTAGAATTTGGTCTAAATTAAGAATAGGCTCTAAGTAACACATAGTCTACTGTGTTGCAACCTTATTTGGCTCCTACTGTGAGTTAAAGACCTATTTTGTTTCTGTTATTTTGTTTCTGTGCTGAGTTCTGGCTATGTAATTAAAGTTTTAGTATAAGTAAAATCTCCTGATGAATGGGTTGTCTCTGTAAGATGTTCCCTATCTACTCTCTTAACTGGGAATGCAAGACTTATAGGAGTGAAAAAAAAACGTGGAGCCACCTTTTAGAGTAAATACCATACTTTCTGAATGGATACTGGAAATCCAGTCTTCCTGTAGTTTTAACAAGAGCTGAACCAGGATCTGTGGACACCTCAGAGAGACTAATCATATGATACTGCTTCCAAACGTGTTGAGGAAAGGTGGGGGAAAAAATCTTTGTTAATAAAAAGTTTATGCAGAAAGAAATTCAAGTATGAAGCAGAATCAATGCTTGGAAAAACAATGGGCAAAATATTTCCCACTTTTTTGCAGTTCTTTTAGTTTTCTATTGTGATTTTTCTGATCTGGAGGTGTTTTTCAGTTAATACAAAATTCAAAAAGTACAGAAGTAACATGTCTTCCACCCTTCTTTTGTCTGGCCACCATTTTCTTTCCAAAAGCAGCTAATGTTGTCAGTTTCTTGTGCATCCTTTCAGAGTTATGAAAGTATTTATCTCCAACCCCTTCCTCTAAGCTGTTATAGTAAAAGGTTCAAAAGACAAGTTAATCACTTCTTTCTGTGAGGAACATAAATACTCTGTATTACCATTTCAGAATTTCTTCTGACTTCCTAACTTCCAAATGCTGAGTGGCATGCTCAACACAAACAATATTTAGAAACGTTATTTTTTTTTCACCATTGAGGGCACTGCCTACTTTAGTAGGAATGTGACCAACTTATATATCGAGAGTTTTTTGTAGTGATATTTTTGCGACTCTTATAGACCTGCCATCAGGTCTTTTTCAGAAACAGTTTCTATTGATTTAATTTGAATGGGCCATACTTTCCTGTTTCTTTGTATGTGTGTGATTTTTTTGTTGTTGAAATCTGAACATATATGAATCTAATAATGTGGTAACTCTGGAAATCAGAGTCTCTTCTTTTGTTGGGGTTTGCTGTTTTTTTTTATTGTTTTTGTTTTGTTGTTCCTGTTTTTTTGATTGTTGTAGGCTATCTCTGTGCCAAGGATTAGCCTGAGGTGTAAACTTAAGGTCTTCTCAGGTCTTTTTTGAGCCTACACCTTTCCCTAGCATGCATGATCACTTTCTATTTTTGCCATATATGCAGTTGCTTTTTAATGTCCTAGTCTTTAATGTCTGGCTCCCAAAGGGAGAAAAAGAGAAAAATAAAAGGAGTTGGGGGAGGGAAAGGGTGCTAGCCCTTTAAATCTCTTGAAAGTCACTTCAGCCAGAAGGAGAGGGGCTTGCAACAGTAGAGGGAGGTGCAACAACAATGACTACCCTCTTGTTTGTCTGCACCTCTGTGATTAGAAACAGCAGTCAGTGATCAGAGCACAGATCTGTGATGTTTGGAGGACAGCATCCTTTTTGCCTACCCTGGCTCTCCCACGCTGTGTGCAAGCTGCTGCAGGAACACTTGCACAGCTGCTTGCCAAGGGGTGGGGAATAGGTAACTGCTATTGTGCTAAGAACTAAAATTGACTGAAATCAATCACAATTTACCATCTAAGCCTTCCCCCCGGAAGTTCCAAGCCTTCCATTGACTCCAGAGTTCCAAAATACTAAATTAGATAGATTCTGCTAGTGTAACTGTTGTCTAGGTGGGGAGAACAGATTTCTGGTGCTTCATGTTCTGCCGGCTTCCCAGAATCCTCTGACTCAAGTCTTTTTTAAGGCTCTCCTCCAGCACCTAATTTAGTCAGAGTAGTTGGCTATTCTCTTCAGTCTCTTAACTTATTCCCCTTCTTTCTCTTACTTTCTCCTTTTCCGCTTTCGTCTAATTCAGTGGGCTTTTTTTTTTTTAACCTTTTGGAAGTCACAGGTTCTTTTAAGAATTTAAAGAAAAGTACTGATGGTCTGTTTCCCTAGAAAAATCCGTATGTGCACAATGATCCAAAATAAGCAGACAATTCAGAGGTCCATAGGTACCCTGAAATCCCGCCATGGCCCTCTTGAGTAGAGTCCATATTAGAAAGATGCATCTCTGTCATCTTCCTTTGGCACTGTGGGCAGCAGATATTCTACCCTACTAAAAGATGCTCACTAGGAGACTGGAGAATGAGAACTGCCTTTCACAGATTTGTAGGAAATCTCTGAATACAGCTAGAAAGGCCTCTTTCCCAGAATATGAAATCGTGATACCATTTTCATGTTTATCCAACTGACATGTTTATCCAGTGACACTAAACTGGTGCGTGTATGAGGTAGTTATTTATATCTTAAAATACAAACTTGTGATTGCCACTCATTTGGAGCATGTAAAAATGACAGGCTAGTTTAAGTGAGGACGAATTTGAATGAATCAATTATACATCTATGTATTTGTGTGTGCATGCATGTGTGTGTGTGCATGTGTGTTTTTTAAGCCTGGTTTCTCTTCAAGTGTGTACAATAATAAGTCATGATATTCATGTGCAAATAGTAATAATAACAGCCAACTATTTTCTAGATAGACATTCTTTTGGATCTGTTTTTACACTTTGAAAGCACTTATTGCCATATTAATTACTGGTGTACAGAAAGTGCTGTAAAAGCACTCAAGGCAATGGTCTGTTCCCTTAAGGGGGTTAAATGTTCCTTTGACAAGTGTGTTCAGATTCTAAATTTGGTTAGTAAACTGTTGTACTAACAGGAGGAGGTACCAAGGTGTATTTAATGCTGACTGTGGATTAGGGAGCCAAAATTGATATGGTTGAAAAATTAAAAAGCAAAGCAAATAATGAAATAGCAGTGTTCTGTCATGGTGAATGTTTCTGGAGTGGGCCCTTGCCAAATGGACAACTGCTACCTGATCCTCGGCTGACTGTGGTGTACAGCCCGGTAGCTGATGTGGACTTTTCTTAGCCACGTTGACCCAGAAGCAGTGCCTATTAAGGACTGTTCAAAGGTTCCATGTGTCCAGTGTTTAGGCATGCTCCAGGGCAGACAACCAACAAATCCACCTTAAACGATATTTTTTGAATTTTATTTTCTTCAGAATTAAAATCACCAGTTGAATCTTCTAAGGAGTCCAAGTAGGTGGGAATAATCTTGAGTAACTGCTAACAGGACTTGGATTTAAACTGACAAGTTAAAAATAAAAGGCTCATATCTCCCAAATTTTTATCCAGCCTGGTAAATTGGATTTTAGTGTGGAATTATGTACAGTTAAATCATGGTGTATGCATGTGGTCAGTGCTGCTTTTCTTTTAAGTGGTCCTGTTTATTTAAAAAACTTGAAAATGAGAAGTTGTTTTGCTCACTCAGTTGGGGCTTATTGTAAAACTCAGATGCCAGAAAAAGAAAGCACCGTTTTTGTGTTGCGAGTACATGAAGTGGACCACGAGTGAACGGGAGAAGGGATGGTCATGGTGCTTTTTCCCTTCTGCCCAAAGAAGGAAAAGCCTAATGGTCAACAGATGGCGTCTGGGGTTATGAAGGCCTTGATGGAGGCGCCACAAATGGTGTCAAATGCAGTAATGCCAAGTGTACGTTTTCACTCTTATGCCTTAGCAGTAATAAAAATAATGCTCAAAAGAAACAAAAAGAGAGAAACGTAGAAATTGGGTTGTGTTGGTAGATGACATTTGTTATAAAAAGAGTCAGTTTGACAACCATGGAAAAAAATTGTTGCTTTGCCCTGCTCTATGCAATATAGCTTCGTGAGTGAAAGTCTCATTCTCGACCTACCCAAGGGGTAGCAATGTAGCATCGACCGCAGCTGAGCAAGTCACACAATCTCCTATAGCAAGTACAGCCAACAACCATGGAGTCATGAAAGCATCACCCAGACAGACCCTTCCAGGGATGCTGAGCCCTTCTTGATCTGCAGATGAGGAAATGAGGGGGCCCAGAGAGATCGCATGACTTGCTGAAGATCACACAGTTGATCTGTGTCAGGGACACATAATTTTCTTACAACAGAGAGAATTTAACCACAAAAAGAAAAAAAAAAAAAAAATACAGGGGCCGGCCCAGTGGCATAGCGGTTAAGTGCACGAGCTCCACTTCAGCGGTCCAGGATTCGCAGGTTTGGATCCCGGGCGCGCACCGATGCACCGCTTGTCAAGCCTTGCTGTGGCGGCGTCCCGTATAAAGTAGAGGAAGATGGGCACGGATGTTAGCCCAGGGCCAGTCTTCCTCAGGAAAAAGAGGAGAATTGGCATGGATGTTAGCTCAGGGCTGATCTTCCTCATAAAAAGAAAAAAAAAATACAAAATTACCCCAATCTGCCAAGTTCATTTATTTTTTAACTGTGACTTAAATCCTTCTAAGTGCAGCTCAGTTATCATCTCCAGAATCCTTCCAGAACTCCCCAGGCTGGGCCAAGGACTCTTCTTTCTATACCACCTCCTGCGTCTCTCTTCCTTAGCTCTTGTTATATTTTGTAGAAATTATCTGGTCATGTTTTTGTTTATAAATCCTTCATGTACATTCATCTTTATAGTTTATTTTGTTTCATTCTTCTTTGTACTTTATAGGAATGGAGTAACTGTAAGCAGTATTAACAACCCCTCCCATTTTTGCGACAGTTTTTTGATGACCCCCTGAGAGTGCTCTGTGTTAATTATTATGGTGGGCCTGGGCAGTGGTATTTGCAGGAGGTCATGGTGGGTTAGAGCGTATGGTCTATGAGCATTTAAGTGATCTGACAGTGGAGAGCTGTTCTGAGCCAGGTTGATACTACTGAACAAAGTTGGGCGGGGTTGGGGATGCCGCACTGTTGATGTCGGTGTGATGGCCAGCTGGAGATAGACAAGGGGCCCTTTGTTCTACTAGTGGCTAAAACATTATAGGAATGAGAATGGAAAACCTTTATGAACCTTAAATTGCTCCCCTGGACAAATAGGAACTGTTAACATAGACAAGAACCTGAAGCCTTAGTGTTAGTGAGATTCCAAGTTTGATTCATTGTTTTACATTTACTTTGTCTGTTAAAAAATATATCAAACATACAAACAAGTATAGAGAATAATATTCTGAACATCTGTGTACCCATCAGTCAGCTTTAGTAAACCTTAACTTTTTGATGTTCTCTGTTCTCTTCCTTCTCTATCCAGAGGCCACTGTTATGAATTTTGTATGTATTACTCTCAGATTCTAAATTTGACTCTTTGGGCTCCCTCAGTGGGAGGGCTTCTGTGTCTTGGATAGGAGCTGTGTCTTGTAGCAATAAACTCATAGTTTTGGATCCACTGTGAGACTATTATAAAGATTTGAAATGTGGCAGTGAGATCAGACTGCAGAGCCAAGGTTTCTCAGACCCTAGATTCTTGACTAGTTGGGATTTCCCCAAGGGACGAGGAGGGATGGTGGCCCCTGAAAGTCACTCATCAAGATATAGTTTGAGGAAATGTATGGTTTAGGGGTAGTGCTTTTCAGACTTTTTTTTTTTTTTTGATGAGGAAGATTGTCCCTGAGCTAAAATCTGTTGCCAATCTTCCTCTTTTTGCTTGAGGAAGATTGTCCCTGAGCTAACGTCTGTGCCAGTCTTCCTCTACTTTTTTTTAAATGTGGGATGCCACCACAGCATGGCTTGATGAGCAGAGTGTAGGTCCACGCCGGGGATCCAAACGTGCCAACCCCAGGCTGCTGAAGCGTAGTGTGCAGACTTAACCACTACACTACCGGGCCAGGCCCTAGACTTTTTTTGATTGTAACCCACAATAACAAATTTTGCATTATAACCCTTCATGCATGGCCATGTACAAACACACACACACACACACACACACACAGAGAACACATACATCTGAATGAAAAGTTTTAATGAAATGATACTTATTCTTTCTTTGTTAGCTGCACTGCACTGTCGTCTATTTTATTGTTTTTACAAAAACTATTTTGTTCCAATAAATTGATTTCACGTTCTTTTAATAGATAGGAACCCACAATTAAAACAAGAACAAACTCTAGCTTAGAGAACTGTTATTTGTTTCATGGAGCAAAAGTGTTTTTAAAACATATATTTAGTTTAACCCTGCTGAATATTTTTATAAAAAGCTTTTTTCTACCACTGACCTAAGCTTAAAGATTTATGCCACAATTTACTAATAACAAATCCCATGTAAAACTAAGCAGAATCGAAGCTATTTGGGGGTTCAGATTATTCTGTGTTGTGTTACTTCTCCTCTTTAAAAGCTCCTAACCCTCTACAACCATTGCCTTAAGGCGGCCTGTCTCGATTAAGTAAACAGAACTTGAACACAGTGACTTAACTATACTTTATAAGTTCATGATCGTTAAGCCACAAAATCAACCTTTCCAAATAAAACTGAGTGTAAGTCAAACTGCCAAGTGAAAAAGAACAGCTATCAAGCTCTCAACACTCCTTTTCTTCAGAGTTTACCTCTATACAATGCTAAATAAAGTCTATACAAGGAATAAAGTGATATGTGTTGCTTTATGTTTATTAAATGTCATCAATTTTTGTGTAGCCAGGCTGTCATCCTCCTCACGTGAGATGCCTGATAATTATCACAATAGCAGGGGTTTATATGGCACCTTTGTTCAAAGAAGTTTATATAATTGGACTCAAAAAAGTGCAGCTTCCCCTCCAGGGAAGCGAAGGAGAAAATTATATTTAATGCATATTAAACAAGCAGTTGTTGGAGATTATAAGCTAGATTGATTCCAAGGTATTGAGTCAGCTTCCTCCAAAATGCTACCAACAGCCATTTTAAACATTAGTAAGGTAGCTGGTTTCTAAAATCTGGAAGAAGGAGAGGGTTTTGTTTAAGCCAACTATTTCAGAGAAGAGGAAATGCAGTTCTACCTCAGGAAATTTAAATGGGACTGTTGAATAACTGGGAAAGAATGTCTCCTTTGGATGAGAGGGCAAAGAAGAATTCAACTGATTTTCAGGCAGAATAAGAAATGTCACAGCAGTACTTTTTTGAGTGTATGCATTTGTGCATACGACTATGTGTTACTTCCACAAAAGCAGTTCTCAAACTTTTTGGTCTTATGACCCCTTTCTACTTTGAAGAATTATTGAGAACGCCAAAGAACCTTTGCATATGTGACTTATATCTATCAATTTTTACCATTTTAGGAATTAAAACTGAGAAACTTAAAAATATTTATTGACTCATTAGAAGACAATAATAAATCCATTATATATTAACATAAATATTTTTATTTAAAAATTTATATTTTTCCAAAAAAATCAGTGAAAAGAGACTTATTGTTTTATATCTTTGCAAATCTCTGTTTTTTTTTGGATGGGGAAGATTCACCCTGAGCTATCATCCGTTGTCAATCTTCTTCTTTGTTTGAGGAAGATTCGCCCTGAGCTAACATCTCTGCCAGTCTTTCTCTATTTTGTATGTGGGTTGCCACCACAGCATGGCTGCTGATGAGTGGTGTAGCCCAGAAACTGAACCGGGGCTTCCGAAGCGGAGCGTGCCCAACTTAACCACTAGGCCATGGGGCTGGCCCCCTTTGCAAATCTCTTGAATGGCTGGTTTAATAGATGACACTTGGATTCTGATATCCACTTCTATATACAATCTGTCATGATATGTTGTTTGGGTGGAAGTACATGGAGAAAATCTAGTGCACACAGATATGTAGTTGGAAAAGAGAGGACCTTGCAGCCTCCTGAAAGGGCCTGTGGGCCTTAGAGGGTCCTTGGGTCACCCTTTGAGAACCACTGTCCTGTAAAGTAGTTTGGAAGAATATATGAGTGGTGACAGTGTGAGTGATCCTAACTTTCTTCTTTTTCATTTATATTTATTTTCTACAACGGAGATTGAATACTTGTACAAACTATAAATGAGAAAGGAGGAAGCAGGAGCATGTTGAGGAAAGATCTTGGAGGCCCTAGAAGCCCAGGGAGAGAAGTTTATACTTGGGAAATCAAGGAGCCACTGTAATTTCTTAAAGAGGAAAGTGACTTGTTAGAATTTGTATTTGGCAGTGAATGGATTAGAATTGGAAGAGAGGAGCTACGTCAGAGGTTGTTGCCGTAATCTGGGGAAGTGATGAGTTGGGCTAGGCCTCAGTTATTGGCAGAAATGGAGAGAAAGGTTCAAACTCTGAAAGATATTTTGAAGGCAGAAATACCAAGACCTGGATACAGGGAATAAAAGAGAGGGAAGAGCCAAAGATGACCAAGAGTTTTCACATCTAAAATATTTGAAGAATATTTTCTCCCTTATATCCAACTGGAACCTTATCTGAAAATTGTTCTGATTAAGCTAATTGAAGTCTTGTCTTGTTTTTCAGAGTTGGCCAGCCCATTCCAGGGCTTAGGAGAAAGTCAACACACTTCCCAACCTGAGTCGGTCAGTTTCTTCCAGAAGGAAAGGAAGACCTATGACATCCCTGGAGAGTTTGTACCTATGACATCCCTGGAGAGTTTGTACCTATGACATCCCTGGAGAGTGACTTGCTGCTTCCTTCCTTCAGACCCTGCAGGCAGTGAAGGGCTGTCTGTCAGTTCCTGTTTGCACTGGACACCTGCCGTCCACCTCTTATGCACTCCAGCACCCCCATCAGCTCCCTCTTCTCCTTCACCAGCCCGGCAGTGAAGAGACTGCTAGGCTGGAAGCAAGGAGATGAAGAAGAAAAGTGGGCAGAAAAGGCGGTGGACTCTTTAGTGAAGAAATTAAAGAAGAAGAAAGGAGCCATGGATGAGCTGGAGAGGGCCCTCAGCTGTCCTGGGCAGCCCAGCAAATGTGTTACGATTCCCCGGTCCCTGGACGGGCGGCTGCAGGTGTCCCACCGCAAGGGTTTGCCCCATGTTATTTATTGCCGAGTGTGGCGCTGGCCCGACCTCCAGTCTCACCACGAGTTGAAGCCGCTGGAGTGCTGTGAGTTCCCATTTGGCTCCAAGCAGAAAGAGGTGTGCATCAACCCCTATCACTACCGCCGGGTGGAGACTCCAGGTGAGCTTCCTTCATGACGTCACGGTTTATTATAAAGGTTAAGGAGGTGTGTCCCAGTTGATGGAGAGCGATGGGGCACCAGCAAGACAAGGACACCCCCCCCCACCCTCACCAAAAGAAGCAGGGAGAGAGAGACAGAGAAGAGAGGGAGGTTCAGTTTTCAGGAACTAATCCAAAATTTTGTAGTCAGAAAAACCTGGAAAGAAGAATTTTCATTTCTGTGTACATGTAAGCTCTGTGTGATTTTGAAAAATGCGGTTATATTTTGATGTATTTTGGAGTTATCATCATAATATTTTTCCAGTTCTTGAGGCCTTTGAAGGTCTCAATATGGCCTTGATATGATTAACTATAAAAAATGAACATCCTCCTCCCCGACCCCTCTCCCTTAGCTTAACTGAACTGGCACTAAATAAAGAAGGTTTCTTGGCTGCCGCTTTCCTCAAGCTCAGGTAAGTAGAGGTATCTCATATCTGCGTCTGAAAACAGCCAATGAAAGAGTTTGTTGGACATCCTTCTAGGACTGAAAACAACGGGGGTTGGGAGAGATTGGCAGTTGTTCTTAAATATGGTTTTAAATATAGGAAAGTGTTCTTCTAAAACTCTCACACCCCTGTGTGTGTGTGTGTGTGTGTGTGTGTGTGTGTATGCATTTATTTTATCCCCCTTTTGGAGAAGTCTGGTGTTTGTCTTCGTTGCTTCACACTGGCTCTAACAGTTTGACTGCGTTCCTCTTTGGGTTGTGTGTTCCTGTGGCTGTAGGGATACAGTTTTATGGGAGCTTCCTCTCCCTGGATGGCCATCTGCCTCCTTCCAGGAGACCAAATGGCCCCTGTCCATTAAGAGTCGGTTCGTCTAGGTAGGCAGGCTGTGATGGGAGTGCAGCCTGCCGCTCCGCTCCAGAGTTCACTTAGCCTTGCAGCAGTTCTGGGTGAGTGATTCCTGCCCAGCCTGTAGCAGGCCTAGCTAGGTGACCTTTCAGGCTCCCAAATCTTGCCATCATGTTGTAAAACGGTTGTCAAGGAAGTCACCTGCCTGGATGTGGATGCCTCTCAAAGTCACTTCACCCCGGCATTGAGTCCCTGTATGAGAGAGACTGTGATGAGCAAGTCCCACACTCCTGGTGAATCTGATGCAGTTTCCCTAGATTGTATGGGCTTTGCTTTCTTCTCTTTTTTCCTGCTTCTCTCTGGGCTCTCTTTGTATACTTAAAAAAGAAGTCACTAATGTCTGAGTTTATGACAGAAATGACTTGATTCCTTTTTCTGTTTCAAAGATTTGAGTTATATCAAGCATTCAAAATATACCCCAGGAAAAACTGTTCATTAAGAAATCATTTCTCTCTTCTTGAGTAATGTAGTTGTAAAAATATATCTTGTAAAATGTATCTGATTTTCCTTTTGAATATTTGAAAACCTAATTTTAAAGGATTATTGATATTTTAGTTTTTCATATTACATAAGGCTCTTTTAGAAATGATAGTGTGAATGTTTTCATGTATGGCACATAGATTTCATATTATCATATTTTAGGTTTGAATTTCCAAAATGAAAGGTAAAAATTTTAAAGTAATATTTAAGCTACACAGGTTTTGTTTTTTTGTGTGTGTGAGGAAGATCAGCCCTGTGCTAACATCTGCCAATCCTCCTCTTTTTTTTCTTGAGGAAAACTGGCTTTGGGCTAACATCGGTGCCCATCTTCCTCTGCTTTATATGGGATGCCTCCACAGCATGGCCTGCCAAGCGGTGCGTCGGTGCGTGCCCGGGATCTGAACCGGTGAACCCCGGGCTGCCCCAGCGGAGTGCGTGCACTTAACCGCTTGCGCCACCGGGCCGGCCCCATACACAGGTTTTTTTATTCATAACTTTCATTTTTTTAATAGAAAATGGAGATTTATATCTAGCTCTCTGGCCATGTTTAAAGTAAATATTTTTTTTTAAATGAAGTAGGCATATTTATTTTATTTTATTTTATTATTATTTTTTTTTATGAGAAAGATCAGCCCTGAGCTAACATCCATGCTAATCCTCCTCTTTTTGCTGAGGAAGACTGGCCCTGGGCTAACCTCTGTGCCTATCTTCCTCCACTTTATATGGGACACCGCCACAGCATGGCTTGACAAGCAGTGCCTCCGTGTGTCCCCTGGATCCGAACCCAGACTGCCAGCAGCGCAGTGCGAGTGCTTAACCACTATGCCACAGGGCTGGCCCAAAGTAAATATTTTGAGAACAATAAAGATGTTAATGTTAAGTTTTTTGGGTCCCTAATTATCACAAAGCTTATGTTTTGCCTTTGCAATCTCTTGTTTTTTGACTGCCCATGTTAGGAACATTGAAGCTGCTTTCTGATTTTCTTTTTACTCACACAACCACTTAAGTAATCTATTTCAGTGCTTCTCAAACTATCTGTAGTGAAGGACTAGTTTTTGTTTTTTAAATCTCTGATCCTTCAAAAACCAGTACTTTTAAAATATAAATTACTAGGCAAATGAAATTGTAAGAAGACGTACAAAATACAAGCCCAGTTTTCTTTATTATGTATTTCAACAGACATAAAATTACTCTGTCAAATGTCTATTAACGTTTCTCAACATGAACTCTCAGTTTCAATCCTTGCATCTTCGTGGACTGGTACCCAACAGTTGGTGAAGTGTCACCTGTCCTCAGACCACACTTTGCGTGGCTCAGGTCTAGTAGAAGCTGTGCAGAAATGTTTTCATGTCACATGATGATTTTATTGTATGCAGTTGGGGATTATTTCATGAGTTTAATTTCTCCTTTACATAAAATCCCCATATTCTATCAAAAAATGACTTTTGAAAAAGATACAAAAGCTTTTTTCAGCTCTGCCTTGCACCCCCATATAACCAGTAACTCCTTCCGCTATTTTCCTCTGTGTAACACTTAGGTGTTAAGATAGTGTGGTATTTAAAAGGTGGCATAAAATCAAAACATCTGTAAGCTCACTGCATCATATTCGAAAGGAGCAGTTGCAGTGTGGAAATAGTTTCGTAATTAGGAATAGCTATTGCTAGAGATTGAATATTTGTGTCTCCCTAAAATTCATATGTGAAAACCTAATGCCTGAGGTGATAGTATTAGGAGGTGGGGGCTTTGGGAGGTGATTAGGTCATGAGGACAGACTCTCATGAATGGGATTAGCACCCAATAAAAGAAGCCCCAGAGAAATCTCTTGCCCTTTCCACCTTGTGAGGACACAGTGAGTAGATGGCAGTCTGCAATGTGGAAGAGCACTTTCACCCAACCATGCTGCACCCTGATCTCGGACTACCCAGCCTCCAGCACTGTGAGAAATACATGTCTGTTGTTTATAAGCCACCCAGTCTATGGTATTTCTGTTATAGCAGCCCAAACGGACTAGGACAGCTATGTTTAGAGTGAAAGTATTTAAAAATATAATCAGTGCAGATCTAAAGTAACTGAGTCCGTCAGGCTGAATAACAACCGGGATGATACTATCAATTTGCTTTACAAATATTCACTACCTTCGGGTTTACCCAGTTGGTAAAAATATATTATCAAGATATTTGTCTCAATAAACAAAAACACATTCTTGCTTTTCTTTTGGTGCCTCAGATCTGCAGGCCGTGAAGAAATAGAAGTCTGTGCATTCAAAAGGGTAGGAGGCATTATGTGTAACAATGTTAGGAATACACTGTAGAGATCTTACATTAAAATTGAAGTCACAGAGATTATTTAAATTCTTCTTAATTTCTTCAAGAAAAACGAGTGTTTATTTGAACATTGTTAACACTGAGGTGAAGTAGCATCGTTGAAAAAGAAGCCATATGTCATTTACTGTGTTCGTCCCTCACTTTCAGACTATCCATGAGGCAAGTCATTTTTTATGCTTACGTATTCAGGAATATAGAATACATAAAAGGAAATTTAATGGCTTATCTTCCAGGTCATTTTTGCATGGTGGTGTTGAGTGTTCTATAATGTTCTAAGGCAGTGTATACAAATACTGGTTTTTATTTTTTTTATTTTTTATTTCTTTTGTGAGGGAGATCCGCCCTGAGCTAACATCCGAAGCTGATCCTCCTCTTTTTTGCTGAGGAAGATTGGCCCTGGGCTAACATCCATGCCCATCTTCCTCTACTTTATATGGGACGCCACCACAGCATGGCTTGACAAGCGGTGCATTGGTGCGCGCCCAGGATCCGAACCCTCGAACCCTGGGCCGCCGAAGCGGAGTGTGCGCACTTAACCACTTGCGCCACCTGGCTGGCCCCTAAATACTGGTTTTTAAAGGGGGAAGAAATCATGTGTTTTCTGCCATCCTCACCTATAGTGGTTTAGTGTAAAACTTTCATTTACCTGGTTGAGTTTATTTTCTACCTGTAGAACTGAAAATGATTGCTTGTTAAGAAAGAGATAAATGTACTTTGGTAGATAAATGGTAGATTTTTGTGATTGATGTTATTGTATTGCTATTGTTATCTGTTTATTACAAAACATTTACTTTTTATGCAAGTTTTTATCGCTACTTGCATGTGGTAACAAATCAACAGTGTGATTAAAAACAAGAGCTATTACATCCATCTTCAGAAACAACCTCCCCCCCCTTTTTTTTTGTTTTGTGAGGAAGATCAGCCCTGAGCTAACATCCATGCTAATCCTCCTCTTTTTGCTGAAGAAGACCGGCTCTGAGCTAACATCTATTGCCGATCCTCCTCCCTTCCCCCCCCCCAAACCCCAGTAGATAGTTGTATGTCACAGTTGCACATCCTTCTAGTTGATGTATGTGGGACGTGGCCTCAGCATGGCTGGAGAAGCGGTGCATCGGTGCACACCCGGGATCCGAACCTGTGCCGCCAGTAGCAGAGTGTGTGCGCTTAACCGCTAAGCCACGGGGCCGGCCCCAGAAACAACCCCTTTTAATCATTCTTGCTTATTTCCATTGCTCGTTCGTTATTACCTTAATTTATGGAGTTAACTCTAGATAATATGCTTAAACATCTGTTTCCAAATTTATCACCTTTAGATAATTTCATTGACTCTCTAACATAAAAGATGAGGATTTAGCTAATTTATAATAATTTCTTCCTTTCTTACTCTTTTCAATCTTTGATATCTGTATTTTGGTTTATAGTTTATATTATTATTTGGCTACTCTATTGGTTTTCATTGTGAGATTTGGGAGTAAGAATTATTTTTCCCTTAGAAGAGCATTGGTCCATTGCCTTGTAGTGTCCAGCCTTGGTGATGGGAAATCAGAAGTCAGTTTGAGGGGCCACCCGGTGGCGCAAGCGGTTAAGTGTGTGCGCTCCGCTTCAGCAGCCCAGGTTCGCAGGTTTGCATCCCAGGGGTGCGCCGACACACTGCTTGTCAGGCTGTTCTGTGGCGGCGTCCCATATAAAGTGGAGGAAGATGGGCACGGATGTTAGCCCAGGGCCAGTCTTCCTCAGCAACAACAACAAAAAAAATGAGGATTGGCATCAGATGTTAGCTCAGGGCTGATCTTCCTCACACACACAAAAAAAAGTCAGTTTGATTCTCATTTTTTCGGAGATGACTTTGAAGTGATCCCCTGGGAGCTTTTAGAATACTATTCCATGTGTCCTTAGATGTTTGAAATTCGAGATGGTAAGACTAGGTCTGGGTCTTTTTTCATTAGTTGGGCTGTGCACTCTGTAGTTCTTTTCAATCTGATGACATAGATCCTTCTTTAGCTCTGGGAAATTTCCTTGTTATTTCTTTGATCACTTCCTCCTCTGTTTTCTCTGCTTCTCTGTCTGGAACTTTTGTTGGTCACTGGTTGCACCTCAACACTTGCGGAGTACCTTCTTTCCCAGGAATTGTGACACTTTAGGAGTAAATAGGAGCTAGGAAAGCCCGGACAGTGCTTGCCCTTGAGAACTACATGTCTTCCTACGGTTTTGTATAGAAACAGGATCAAGAACACTCATGTTCTTTTTAAAATATGGAACCCAGAAGGAACATACTGAAGTGAACAGGTTTTATTTACAAGTTCTCTTATTGCTGCTTATCTTTTACTTACTCACTTGTAATACTCACTGTTTATCTTTCATCTAATAACTTTTAGTTACCTTTGAATCTTTCTGGTAAAGACAAGTAGAATGTTTTTACTTTAGCAGCACTACTGAGCCTTAAATTTACGGTCATCATCTAAATAGTTCAACATGGTCTCTGAAGGAAAAATACTCTGGGCGTCACTTAGGGTTTCACTGCAAGCAAAAGAAACCGATTTTGCCTTTAAAAAACCCCCCACTTTATTGGCAGAATCAAGGAAGACATGAAAAATTAGGTCTCCAGCAGGCCAGGTAATAGGCAGCTCTGGTAATTTCTGTGGTCAGAATGAATAGACTGTCTCTTTAGAGTGCTGACGTCAGAAAGAGTCTCCTCTAAGCTTTTTGTTGTGATATTCTGCTTAATATTCAGGCTGCAAGGAGAGAGACCATTGGTTTAGCTTGCTTCACAAGCCCACGTTTTGGAAAAGGATGGGACCTTAATTGACAATTTCAGAATGAGCACAAAGAATGGTGAAGGGGTAGTTCCCAAAGGAAAAACAATTTTATCGTCAAAAAAATGGACAGACAAAAACAGCGAGTGCCCTCTCTGTTCTGTGCCAATGAGCCAATGCTCAGGTCTAACCCACTGGTTTCTTTCTCGTCCTAGTGCTGCCTCCTGTACTCGTGCCAAGACACAGCGAATATAACCCCCAGCTCAGCCTTCTGGCCAAGTTCCGCAGTGCTTCCCTCCACAGTGAGCCACTCATGCCGCACAACGCCACCTATCCCGACTCTTTCCAGCAGCCTCCGTGCTCTGCATTCCCTCCCTCGCCCGGGCACGTGTTCTCTCAGTCCCCGTGCACGGCCAGCTACCCTCACTCCCCAGGAACCCCTTCCGAGCCAGAGAGCCCCTATCAACACTCAGGTCAGTAAAAGCTGCGGTGTATGTGGATATGACCTAACACAATTATTTATGGTGGGACCGTCATCATTATAATCAGTGTAACTAACGTTCATCTAGAGCTTTACTGTTCACGCTTCCGTGGGCCGTTAGACCCTGCCCACCCTCAGAGAGGATCAGGACTATTCCCATTGTGGCACAATTACCCTGGAGCTACAACGTGTCTTTGCTCTGGTTTGTGGTTCTAATCCTCTGGAAGCGCTCAGAAACTGAATGGATTTGAACAGCATCTCTGGGAATTTCCAGGGATTTTCTTTAAAAGGCAGTAGAAATAAGATTATAAAATACTTCTCTAACCCAAGCAGGAAGACTTGGCCTGAGGGCAAGCAATGTGAAGGATCAATGCTAGGCCTTTTCTTTGGCTTCCTCTTTCAACAATTAAAGGGAGTCCCTGCCTGCAAAAGATGTATGCAAAACTTCAGTGGGGCAGAGAATGAGGCCCCAGCTGTAGCCAGTGCATTCCCCCTTTGTGCTATGGGATGCCAGCACAGCATCGTGAAGGCAGAGCTAGTCAGTATTTGCTGAATGGAAAAAGCAATGGAAAAAGCATATGGAAGGGAGAGGGAATGTGCATGCCCCTGTGCAAAGGGAGAATCAAGCCCATTGTCATAATTGCATGTGCTACCACACCTAGAAGGTGAGTCTAAGTTAGATAATGAAGAAGAGACTTATATGCACCCATGAGTGTGAGATAGATAATATCCTGGACTAACAAGTTTCCGGAGGCGTGCATAAATGCATTTGGTGCCAGATGTTGCGATCTGTCTCATTCATTTCTTCATATATTCATTTATTTACTAGATATTTATTGAACTCTTACTATATGCAAGCATTGCCTTAGAATGCAGAAAGTAGAATTAAAAGATTAATAAAAATTATCCCTGTCCTCAAAGAACTTATAAAATGTAGGAAAATAAAGGAGTTTCCTCTTGCCTTCCAAGTTATTCACTTCTTCCTTTTGCCCCCTCAGCAATACATCTACTGTTTCACGTATACATCTACCATTACATTTATTATGTTGTATTGTATAATTCCTTATGTGTCTATTTCCCCCATTCAGCTGTCAGTCGTCTTCTCTGTAGCACAGCCTAAAATGCAGTAGTTGCTCATTAGTTGATCACAGAGTAAATGAATTGCCACATAGGCATTTGGAACTTGGGACTGGAGCGCAGGGTTGCAGATGGAGATTATATTGAGTCAGTAAGTCATGACTGACCACCTGCTAAGTGCCAGGCACTGTGCTAGTGCTGGAGGGACAGTGATGATTGATTAGACCATGGGCTCTGACCTTCAGGAGGCAGTGACTATTGAGAACAATCATGTAAATAAGTACAGAGTGTCATAGGGGCTGTAGCAGTCCAGGCAAGTAATTATAACGACTTGGACTGAAGAAGGAATGTGGGGATGGAAAGAAGGCAATGGATTTGAGGAGGTGGAATCAATAGGACTTGATGTGAGGGGAAGGCTGAGATGCTGGAAGGAAGCTCGAGAATCATTTGCACAGAGTGGAGGAGATGGTTGAAGTCTTGCAAGTGTCTGAATTCACCGAGAAAGGGACACAACACGAAGGAAAGTCATTTGAGGACAGGGCTGTGGTTAAAGAACAGGAGGATAATTACGTCACAAAGTGTATATTTACATAAAACATATCTGTGCTATAATGACTTCCTGTACTGACTTTGTATTCCTGCACTGATTAAACTAACAGGTTGATGTTTTTTTCCCCCTTCCCACCCATGAAGCTGGTTAGTTTCTCACAGAGGCAATGGCCCTTTTAATTTGAAAGAAAACAATTCTTTTCTGAATGATTGACAGCAAAATGCCAACCTGAATTCCATATCCATGGATAAGTAAGACTAAAAAGAACTTTTGAGATTAACTGGTTCAGCTCCTTAAATTTTTTTAACAGCTTTATTGAGATATAATTCACATGCCATACAGTTCATCCATTTAAAGTATGCAATTCAATGGTTTTTCATATATCACATAAAATTTGCCATTTTAACCATTTTTAAGTATACAATCCAGTGGCATTAAATACATTCACAGTGTTTTACAACCATCACCACTATCTATTTACAAAATTTTTTCATCACCCCAAATAGAAACTCTTACCCTTTAAGCAATAGCTCCCCATTCCCCCCTAGCTCCAGCACCTGGTAACCTCTAATCTACTGTCTCTATGAATTTGCCTAGTCTAGGTACCTCATATAAATAGAATCATACAGTATTTGTCCTTTTGTGTCTTGCTTATTTCATTTAGCGTGGTGTTTTCACAGTTCATCCATGTTGTAGTATGTATCAGTTACTTCATTTTTGTGACTGAACAATATTCCATTGTATGGATATACCACATTTAAAAAAAATCCATTCATTTGTTGATGGATATTTGGCTTGTTTCCGCCTTTTGGCTATTGTGAATAATGCTACTATAAACATGGGCATGCAAATATCTGTTCAAGTCCCTGCTTTTAATTCCTTTGGGTATATAGCCAGGAGTGGAACTGCTGGGTCACATGGTAACTCTATGTTCAGTCCCTTAATTTTATAGATAGATTTAATTCCTTTGGGTATATAGCCAGGAGTGGAACTGCTGGGTCACATGGTAACTCTATGTTCAGTCCCTTAATTTTATAGATAGATTTACTCAAGGACCATCAAAAGGGTCTCCTTGCTTTATAACTTTTCCACCAGGGTCGTAGTTCATCTTCTGACAGAGAAATCCTTATCCGTGGTTTTGCAGAGTGGTCCATGAACCACCTGCATTAGAATTGCCAGCAGTGCCTGTTAAAACGTACATGCCTACATCCAACTACTGATCTGCAGGCTCAGAATTTCTCTGGGTGGGGCCGGAAATCTGCATTTTTAATAGGTTCCACTGGCAATTTTGATGCACGCTTAACATGTGAAAACTACTTGAATGGACACTTCAATTCAACAAAGGCAGACTGACCCAAGCTTTTATGCTATTGAACTCCACCAACTGATGTAACAAGACTATTCTGAAAGACATTAGGAATGTATGCAGAAGGAATCAGTTGTTCTGAAGTCCACACTAAAGAATTTTCCCTCTGCCTCAGGAGTTTTTATTGTTATGAATTAATTTTGGATAAGATGTCATCTGCTGAATGCCCACCATTTGCCTCACCATGATCACTGTCCAATCACAGAACTGATATTTGGGGAGCAGAGCCCTTCTCAGCATGCCTTGGGCTCCGAGTTTTAATCAGAGTTCAGCTGTTCTGTGTTTGGGGGCATATTTTGAACTGTCTTGGAGATAGAACATCCCTGTGGCCATTGCACAATCCATGGCAACAGAGGAACTGAAAATTAAGCTCACTTCAAAAGAAGGTTTTGAAAGCCAGATGACAGACTATCTGCTATTGAGAAAAGCTAGGAGAATAGCTCCTAGATTTGAAAATCTTATCCTGAAGTCATTTGAACTCAATGATAAGTCAGAGGAAAAACTAATCAGCCCTTTAGTGAGGAGCTGAGGACACCTGATTTCTCCTGTGGGACATTCACAATGTGACTACAGAATAGCCTTATTACATTACTGGTCTGTCTTCAGCAGTAACACTGTCCACCAAGCCCAGGAGTTTAACGGCTAAAAGAGTTGTATCAGGCTGTCTTTGTGTAGCTTATCAGTTTGACATTCCTTTGTTTTACTGCTTTCTTTTAGTTGACACACCACCCCTGCCTTATCATGCCACAGAAGCCCCAGGGACCCAGAATGGCCGACCTGTAGATGCCACAGCTGATAGTCATTTAGTGCTGTCAATGCCTAATGGAGGTAAATTTACAGATGAACAGCTAAATGTAGCTGTTTTCCAGGAGTATTTCCTATTACCCCCAAACAAAACAAATCAAAAAACAAAACAAAACACAGTGTGCTGGCCCGCTATTTCATGCATGTTCTAAGGGGCAGACAGCATGGCTTTGCACTGTAACTTTGGCACTCCTCAATACCATGGAGTGAATGTTTTGTCATCCTGTTACTAGAATAAGTTCGTTGTTTATTTTAACCTAACATTTAGAAGTTTGTAGTTCTCGATGTTTAGTATGGAACTGGGTATTTAAGAAGTTAGCGATTTTATCCCATTTGTGTCTCTACTATAGGTTTATAGTGATATCTTTCATTTGGCTTAGAGGGGTGCTCTTAGAAATATATGTAGGTAGGGTTTTTACATAATTTTATTTGTGTCTTATAATAGGCTAGATAAACGTTTCTCAACTTGAATGTTCTTACAAACCACATGGCGATCTTATATAAATGCAGATTTGATTGCCTAGGTCTGGGGTGGGCTCCAAGAATCCACATTCCGAACAAGCTCCCAGGTGATGCAGGGGGCGCAGTTCCAGGAACCACACTGAGCAGGGAGGGTCTGAAGGAGTTTACTATTTAAAGTATCCCAGAGTGAATGCTTTCATAAGTGAAGGTCCTTTTGTAAATCAAATAGTCACCCTCTAATTTATCTGTTTCGTAAATTTATATTTTAGTGCATATAGGAACACACTCAGATACAAGAATTACTAGGATATTCAAAGAAAAGAGAGATAATATAATGACTAGAAAGGCAGAGAGAGAGTGTGGGTGGCAAAGAAAGAAAGGACTCTGAGCTTTGGTTGGTTACTGGCAACTTAACTTTGAAAACTTTGGGGTGAAAACATACCATTCATGGATTTCCTAATGAAGTGTACCTCTCTCTTTACTTGTATGCTATAAATTAAGTGTTCCATGTGCACCCAAAGGAGAATGTGAGTCCTTCAATGTGGAAGTTTTTTTCTTTCTTAAATAACTTAAAGGCCTATCAGGTGTTTTTGATTTGGTTTTTGTCATATCCAAACCATTATGTTTCATCTTTAGTTTGTTAGAAAAGGATGCTCTTTGCCACAGGGATTCAGTTTGGCACAGTAACAGTCATCTGCTGTCTTTCATATGTAAAGATGAGGTGACTTGCCAGCTTCCTTCTAGCTGTCTTTCCTTTGGGGTGATGAAGTTTACATGGATCCATTCATATCGTCATTTGCCTGGCCCCCTCAGTGCTAATGAATATGATTACAAATGCTCTAACCATGGGAGAGTCACAGGGCCTTGGCCTCTGTGCCACAGGTACATTACCCAGATGAGCTAACCACAAACAGCTTCCGTTAAAGTGATAGGTTTGAAAAGATCGCCAAGAGCTTACTTGGCCTTGCAGCCAACATTCTGGTTAACAGCACCAATCAAAGTTTCCTCGTGGAATCATGAATTGGGAGGCCCAGGCATGAGGGTAGTGATGGGCTGTCTGGTTCATTTTCTTTCAGACTTTCGGCCAGTTTGCTATGAGGAGCCGCAGCACTGGTGCTCAGTCGCCTACTATGAACTGAACAACCGAGTTGGGGAGACGTTCCAGGCTTCCTCCCGAAGTGTGCTTATAGATGGATTCACAGACCCTTCCAATAACAGGAACAGATTCTGTCTTGGACTGCTTTCTAATGTCAACAGAAACTCAACAATAGAAAATACCAGGAGACACATAGGAAAGGGTAAAAACAAATGTGTAATTCCTTTATACGTTCTTCTGAGCTGAAACGTGGAAATAGGAGCAAGCCGTGCATTGGTCACATAACCTAGCAGATGATCCCAGGGCTGGTGACCTGGGAGACCGTTCTGGGGTTATCGTTAGAAAAAGCACGTGGGCTTTCAGGATCTTAATAATCTCTCTGCCTCTGAAGTCGGCATTGCATCTTCTGGGGGGTGGAATAGGGTGGGTATTATGAAGACAAACAAGATGATAAATATGAAAGCAGGATGAAATTATTGAATGGAAGTATTATGAATTATTTTTGAATTGCCTAAAGATGCTAAATAGGATGACTTCTGAAGAAGAGGATTCTGGCTGGATGATTACTTATATCAGGTAAAGTTTATCTTTGGGGACTTAGAAGCTAGGTAGTTAAAAATCATGACTTATTTATATTTGGAAGCTTTTGGTAGGTGATTGGGGTTCTCCTGTGTCCACAATTGTTTTGACAGCTGAATGGGCACAGGCCTCACTGGGGCCTGGCTGATGATGCTTTTGAAGGCTATCTCATCGGTGTGATCAATGGTAGGAAATCCCGGCCGAGTGCGAGGCGTAGTTGGGGATCTTTAAGTCATTTTCTTTTGTATGAGAACCATTGGTAGTGCCTGAGTGATACTTGGTTGTCCACTGTTATGTCCGATATTCTAGAATCACAGGTGTTAGGAACCTTCAGCATCATTTGATGTTTTCTCTCCCCATCCAGCACTAGACACCTCAGGAAGGTAGCCACAAGCCTTTTCTTTCCAATTTCCAGGGGAGATTCATTATTTCACTTGGTGATGCATTCTAATATCCTTCCTAATGTACCTCCTAAATGTCTCCTGTTGTCGTAAACCTACAAGCCATTGATTAGAAACAGGTTGAACTCATTCATTGGTGTTGACTCTCAATGGCAACAGTTACTTTGTGTTTATTTATATCCTGTATCTTTCCGTAGTGGCTTTGAGGTGGCTTACAAGAAACTTTTGCAGTGAAATGATAAATGAAAAATAGAGAGTCAGAAACTGGAGATTGGGGGTGGGGGAGAAGAAGAATACAACTCTCTCATCCATAAGGGTTAGCATGGTGATTGTGATTAAAGTTTTGCTCTAGGTTTCTTGACAGGGACATCAGAAGAGGGCAAATCAATCTGCAATTTTTATCGCAAAGGAGGAAACATAGCTGTTCCTCAAAGGACATAATACTTTCACTTTGACTAAATTCTTAAACAAATTTCTCAGGTATGGTTTTACTTTCAAATGATTTTTAAAGAACCTTCAGATGAAATCTAAAGGCAGAACATTAAATCATAATGTTGTGGAGCTGTTTGCTGAGGGGCTTTGCAGACTGGCCTATGTATTAGACTTCTACTCATGCCACTTGATCCAAAGGTAGAATTAAAATATTAAGGAGTATTGAATACCTTCTGGGAACCTTTCTGCAAGTAGCTTGTTCAAGGTGCTGCTGATGTGGACATGGAGAGTTGGTGTTCTGTGTTATTGACTGAGAGCTAATCCACAGAATTAAGAAACCATAGGAGCAAGAGCCAGGACTGATGACCTGTTACGAAAACCAGAAAGCCTAATTGCTCACCTGGATGGAAGGGCACTCCAGCCTCACTTGGTCCCCAAGACAAAGTCACAGTTTTCTCAGAAAGCTGCTTTGGAATTGCTTTAATGTGAAATGAATTTTTTAAAGCCATGCCATAAGGCATGGCAGAAAAAAATGTTGGCTTGGAATATTTTTAAAGCAAGAGCTATCAATCTTCTATGAGGTTCAGGGACTGGTTATCAGGTGCTCCCCTGGATTGTCTGGTTCTCAGCAGCGTGGCTTCCTGGAGCACCCGCCTGAATAAGTTTGCAGCAAAATGCACTCCTAGATTAGTGAATATGTTAACCTGCTCCATGGAGTTAATTAATAGAGGCACATAGATTTTAGAGATTTGCATTCATCTCACAAATATTTATTGAGCACCTACTCTTAGCCAGACTGTTCTGCCACTAGGGGTGCAGCAGTGGGAAACAACACAAACCAAACAAACAAAAAACCACCAGAAAAAAATCCTGCCTCTGTGGACTATATGCTACTAAGGAAAGACAGACAATAAACAATATATATAATATGTCAAAGGATACATGTCTAGAGAAAAACAAAGGAGGGGAAGGGCATGTGATAGGTTAGAACAGAGTAGCCAGGGAAGGCCTTCCTAAGAGGTGACATTGGCACAGAGAGCTAAGGAGGGAATCAGCTATGTGGATATCCGGGAGGAAGGCTTTCCAACCAAAGGGAACAGCAGGTGCAAAGGCCCTGAAGCCTGCCTGGCATACTGTGAGGAACAGCAGGAAAGCCAGTGTGAGTGGAACAGAGTGAGCAAGGGGATAAGGAAGTAGTAGAAGAGGAGGGCTCAGGACCAGGTCACGGGGGCGTTGAGGCCCTTTAGTATGCTTTAGCTTTGACTCTGTGAAATGGGAAGATAGATTGAAGTTGAGTTCACGTGATCTGAGTTTTCACTTTAAAAGGATCCCTTGGCTGTTATATTGAGATTAGACTGTAGGGGGCGAGGGTGGAAGGTATCCACAAAAAAAAAATTTTTTATTGTAGTCAATGATGAGCCGTTTCTTCAGTAGTTATGAGTTAGCTCTGAGGCCACTTCTGGTTTGAGCTCCTTGCCACTTAAGTTAGCTAAATTGGCTGGTCCTCCTCAACGACATTAATACCGCCACCCTGTCAGCAGTGCAGGTGCTTTGAGTTGTGTTTTCTCCAGTGGTGATGACTTATGCCGACTCACCTGTGCTCTCTCACCGTGCTTTCCATCTAACGGGACACACTGTGTGGCAGTGGGGTTGGCACAAGGCATTAATTTGTAGCCTCGTAACAAGGAACTGGTGCAAAGGGAATTGAACCTTTTCCTTTGACCTCACTGACAAAGTGCTTTAAACAGCCATTAGCAAGTTAGTGCTAGCATACCAGGGGCTACCAGTTAAATATCAGAGGCCACACCTCAAAGAACCTGGGACACTGGATTCTAACAAAAAGTATATCCATAATCTTCCTTGAAAACTGTGCAAACCCGCTTGAACTCTCTCAATGACTGACAGCTACCCTCATTGATTATCCAATCTGTTTGAGGCACCCTGGCATGCACTTAGCCATGTGGTTTTTACAGTAACGCTACACGTTCGGTTTTCTTAGTCCCATTTTGCAGATGGGACAACTGCAGCTCAGAGAGTTCAGTAGCTCACCCACGGTCACATGAGGGATACCAGGGACTCGCACCCATGGCTCTGTCTCTCAGGCCTGGTGCGTCCCTCTTCTGGAGAGGAGGGACCCGCCTGCCTTTTTATCTTTGACCCCTTTTAGTGCCTTGTTTGTAGAACTGAATCTTTTAATATGGAATGAAAATACCTATCATAGGCCACAGCAGTGGTGTCATCATCAGCTCTGAGATGTTGAAATAAGGCTCTACTAATACTCAAGTGATGAAATTGTACAGTGATTTCCTTTAAAAATGTAAATCAGGGAAGATTTTATGCTTTCCTTACAAAAATATTCTAGAAAAGGAGTACTGTGCTGAGAGTTACACAGAGCCCCGTGGGAGGATTATAAGGATCTTTGCAGAAAAAAGATGGAGAACTACTGACATAATACCTATTTGTGACTGCACAAAATAAAGCAGAGGTTATTTCCAGGTGATTTGGGAATGATGTAATAGCCAGTCTAGATAACTGAAGTATAATATTTGACTGCTTTTTTAGAGTGGCTTTTAGGATGGACCTGATTTCCAAATAATGACAAAAACCGGAGCTTTGCATTGACTGCATGAGCGTAGGCGTGCCCTTAAGATAGTTGAGGTCGGATTGTATTTCTTAGAAATGCATAACTTAGTATGATCATAGTCAGTAGTACCATCATTTCTGAGACCTCTGATTTGTGCTGTAACTGAAGTTAGCTCCATTAACCCTCGTAATGAGCCTGGGCCAGGTTCTTGGCATGAAATGACACTTCGAGCAGGACAGGCCATTTCTCTTTTGCAGGTGTAGATGTGTTTCGTTTGTCCTGTCTGATATCCATTCTTCCCCTAGTGGGAGAAAGAGTAGCTAGTTATAATAATTCCTGAGGTATTAACCCCAGTTATTGAACCTACTGAGGCAAACCAAGACCTTCCTGAAAATGACTATCATATATTCCAAATCATTGAATTGTTTTTGGAATTAGTTTTTCACCTTTTTGTGCATCTTTATTTTCTTGCATATCTCAAGTTCTGTAGAATTCTGGTAAATCTTCCTGTTTTATGAAAAGAATTATCCTGATGCAAGGGTTTGGTTTGTTAGTTCCTTGGAGAGAGGGTCTGCACTTAACGTGCTTTTTGGATTGCTTCCTTTCTCAATAGATTTAGCTTCCCTGTCTCAAAATGCCCTTTCCATTCTGCCTTTGAACATGTGTAAGGCTTCTCATCACTTAAAAAGAAAATCCTAAAGTATAATTTTAACATCGAATGTTATACTGTTGCAGTCATTAAACTTGATGTTGCAGAATACTTATCATGAGAAAATGTTCACAATATTTTAATACATAAGAAATAGTTATAAGACACCCTCTAGAGAGTATGATCCCAATTTTGTGTTAAAAATGCACAGAAAAGACTGAAAAGTGTATAACAAATGTTAGCTTGGATTATTTCTGGGCTGTGGATTTATGGCTGGTTTTCATTCTTGCGTCTCTGTATTTTCTGAATTTTCTCTGGTGGGCCTTCTCGCTCATATGCGGACGGGGCAGGACACGGTGTGTAAGGACCTGTGGGGATCACTACAGCGGTAGTGAGAGAGGCATCACGGTGCAGCCCAGCCCGGCAGAGTCGCTGAGCCTGTGAGTGGCAGAGGTGGGACATTCATTGTAGTTCAGTTGGGCCCAAACCTGCTTGTTCGCCATATTGTCCAGAGAGACTTAAAATCTTCAAGTACAAATTTGGGGCATTGACCTTGCTACCAGGCCAGAAGCAGCTTTGTGTGAATTAGAAGGAGCCACTTTCTCAAAAGAAGTTACTGCCATCTGCTGGAGACGTCTTGTAATAATTATACAAATCTTGGAAGACTATGAGGCACACCCTGGAGTTGTGCAGTGCGCAACTGCAGGCACGGTCCTGTGGAGGACCCACCTCCATCCTCTGAACCTAAGCCCTGGTGTAGATCTGGAAATCTTTACTTTTATATATATATATTTTTTGATCATACATTAAAACATTTTTTATTTTGGAAAATTTCAAACATACATAAAAGTGGAGAGAGTCATGTAATGAATCTTCATATTACCATCTCCAGCTTCAATAATGAGTCACATTCTGTGCCATTCTTTTCCTCTATCCCTCCACAATATTTTTGCAAGAGTATTTTAAAGCAAATCTGACTTCATATCCTTTCTTCTGTATATTTGAATGTATATCTAACTATTAAAGGAATTTCTAAAACTACCATTATTACACCCAGAAATATGCACTTTTTTCAAGCTCCAGGTGATCGTGATAATCAGCTAGATTTTAAGATAGTTGTACAGAAGAGAGGGCAATGACAAACTCAAGGGAAGGTGTTGAGTTGGTGCTAGTAGGTTTAGGTTTTATTCTAAGGAGAGTGGAGAGGCACAGAGGTCTCTGAGCAGGGTGGTGGGGTAACGAGATCTACTTTCTGCCGTGGTATTTTCCCTCCCTCCCTGGTAGGAGGGGACCCAGGCACGTTCCTTCCACTTTGGGACACTGACTTTCTCTTCTGTTAGATTCCAGAGCATTGGAACCCTCTCCCCAGCCTAACTATCCTGCCCTCCTCCTAGTCTTTCCTGTCTCATTCCTCTGTCAGTCAAGACTTCAGAAGAGGACTAAAAGGGAGCACACTTGCAGTCTGACTCAGCAGACCCAAATCAAACTCAGAGTGTCTGTGGTCCTAGTTAACCACACAACAGAGCACTCCAAACTCCCTAATCTCATAAAAGGTGGGTGCAGACACACACAAGTGGAAAGCTCAGATAAAGAAAGACACAGCCGTAGAAGAAATGTAGTCCAAGGGGTGGGTAGAAGTTGCCTGAGGACCACGTTGCCTTGGTTCTCTTTGTCATCTCAGGAAGCACTGTCTTTGGGCATTTATCCTATTGCTCACTGTTCTCTATGGAGATCTTGAATCTAGGTGTGGTTTATAGCCACTATTCTGGCCTATCAAATGGAGGCAAATAAAATGATTTGCCTGCTTGACTCTTCTTTAGATGCTGCTGTCTCTGGTCAAAACCCAGCCTCCTTCACTTTGGGGTTGAGTTCCATTCTTGTCCTGTTCTTCAGAGCCAGCTTGGGCCTCCATGTGCTTATCCTATTGGCTCTGCTCCCTCTTCTTGCTCAGGATGCTAAACTACTGCCTACCTGCCCCAGCTCTTCTCTGCTTTCCTTGCTCTGCCAACATGTCTGTGGTTGCGGATAAGACTTTAACAGGATTGAAAATCATCCCCTAAATAAAGACCAGAGTCAGGTAACAAAAATCGTGTCTGTTCCACTTAATGAGTTCTGGGAGGATTATATATTTGAATGTCATTCAATTCAAACACACACTAAACACTTAGCAGCCCCACTTTCTGCTCTTTCATACCTGCTTTCTCTCTTTTAAAAAAACCACCCCAGGGGCAGGCCTTCTCCCCAGGAGGTCACAGGGGTTATAAAAGGAAGTCTGCTTGGATTTGCCCCTGCCTCGCCTCCAACAGGTCTATCCAGCCAAGCAACTGTGTCCCAGCCAATTAGGACCATCCTCTGCCTACGCCTCATGGCCTGGGTCACGGGTGTCAGACTCAAGGCCGTTCAGGGAGAGTGTGAATAATGGAGATGAGAAAGAAAGAGGAGAGGAAGGCTGAGAAGAGGGGAGGGGAGCCAGTCTGATCTAGGTGCTGAGAGGGGAACCTTGGCCTGAAGGTCGAAAGCCGTGCTTTACCTTTGTGACTCTGGATGGGTTTCTTCAGAGTGTTGTGGTTGGAACACATCCTACTGAGAACCGTTCTTTTCTAAAATTGTGTTACAGTAAAGGAGACGGGAAAAGGAACCAATAAATGTGGTGGGTGGTAGTCCCATTAAGTGCAGAATTGCCTCAAGTGCTCCTTAGAACCTGACAAGGAAGCTGAGCGGCTCTCAGTAATGTTTCCTAAATGCAAAGTTATGCAAACCGGGGCCTGAGAACCACTGCAGGTCTGTAAGTTCTGTTTAAACATTCTGTATTTTCATTTTGAGGAGATCAAAATATAAGCCTGTCAGGATCATTTCTATGCACCTTGTCACTGCATGGTGACTGTTTATGAGCACGCTGACATCTAGTGCTGGCGAATTTTGTTTCCACTAAAAGGTTGGAGAATTGTTCTGGTGTTTAGTATTCACTAGACTAGAGCTTCTTCATTTGATCTAACCCCAGTCCCTTGCTATAAATTTTTGTTTAATCTCAAACCCAGACATTGGCAAGGAAAGAATCAAGTCAAATTTAATTTGGAATAAAAATTAGTGTGAGCAGCAGCTTTCTCAGGATGCTCTTTTGCCTTTTAACCCCAAGAATGTGAGCTAAAGGAACATAAGCTACATTTTGATTGTGAGTCTTTATATCCTAAAATATAGCAAGAATTTCACTGTACATAAGTAAAAAATAGGTGTTATTTCTGTGATCTATAATAGGAAGTGATAAGCTTTAAAATGAAATAGGTCTCTTTTATTAAGAGAAATGGATTTATAATTGTTGGTAAAATAAAATTTAAACTTCATTTATTGTTCTCTCTGAAGTGAGTTTAGTGTATGCACTTAAGTAACATTCTCCGTGATATTATCTGTGTCCAGTTTTTATTTTTTGTTTATATATGTACCTGAAGGACTATTTGATGTTTTCTGCATTATGTATTTATTTTGCGTCTCATCTTGTGAGATCTTCCTTTTAGAATGCAACAGCGTGAGATTGAGAGAGTGACGGGAGCGTGTACGTGAGAGCTTACTTATTTGATCTTGGCAACGATTGTAAACATGGGTTATAATCAGATTTTTAAATGGACTCATGGAAAAAACACAGATTACAATTAAAATTTAAGTCAGCATTTGGGTCACACATCTTACTAATCTGTGGTTGGTGATATTAAAAGTAACCTCACAGTAGACAGTCACGTCTCTAGAGGTTACAGAGGTCAGTGAGAAGGGAACGGTGTTAGACCTAAATTAAATATAGCGCTGGTGTCTGAAGGCTATGTTTTTGCCTGTAGGTGTGCATTTATACTACGTTGGGGGAGAGGTCTACGCCGAGTGTGTGAGTGACAGCAGCATCTTTGTACAGAGCCGGAATTGCAACTATCAGCATGGCTTCCACCCAGCCACTGTCTGCAAGATCCCCAGTGGCTGCAGCCTCAAGATCTTCAACAACCAGCTCTTTGCTCAGCTGCTGGCTCAGTCAGTCCACCATGGATTTGAAGTCGTCTATGAGCTAACTAAGATGTGTACTATCCGGATGAGTTTTGTTAAGGTAAGGAGTGTTTGCTTCCAGATTATAAGAGGGAAAATGAAAAGCAAAACAAAACAAAAAGCACTCTTTGGTTGATATGGTACTTATACAGCCAGTTCAAGTAGACAAACATTTTTTTGGAACTCTATTTAATTGTTTTTAGGAAGAGCTCCTCCATGAGTATGAACTCTCTTTTTTAGCAATTATAAGAAGATTCTTAAGCATATTACTTTTGGAGGAAAACCAAGTTAAAGTAGTTACCTGGTTTTTTTTCAGTGCAGAAGATAAAGTAAGTGACAATGAAAATTTTATAGGACTTAATGCTACAAAGATTTTTCTGTCCTTCAAATTGCTGAGCACTGTTGTTACTCAGTGAATGTTGATGAATTTACCTGAATCATTCTCCTTACTCTTAGAAAGCATACAGGCAAGAGGAGATAATATTTATAAATAAGCTACAAAACAGTACTGGCTCTAATTCAAGTTAGTGTAAATTAAGTGCTGTTATAAAGGCATGAACAAATTGAGATAAAACATTAAGCTAAGTATGATTAATTCCGAGAGAAGAGTAGATATTCTGTTTGTGAATTTTTGTTGGCTTTCTCAAATTAGATCTTATTAAAGTTGATCTGAAGGTTGGAGAACCGAGAAAGAGACTTAGGGGGAAGGAAAAACAACTGGATTTGCACATTGAAGCTAAAGGCCTCAGTTTCATCATCTGCTATTTCATCTCTTGCAAAGCACTTACAAATAATTCTAATATTTCACAATCTGAGCTTGTTTATCAAACTATCTGGCTATATGTGACACAGGTTTTGCATTGTCACATATCCATCCAAGGAATCAGTATGGCTTGTACTAGGTTTTTTCAAAGTGAATTTTATTAATCCTTTAAAATTATCATAAAAAATAATTACCCTATTTTCTATACTCAAATTATATTTTATTGTATTTGTAATCTTACTAATTATTTTAAAAATAAGAATCAAGAATATAGTTTCCAATTTAAAAAATGGCTTCTTGAAACCATTTCTATTTCATGATGACAAAGCAGTTTTATTCAAATTTTTTAAATTTTTCTTTATTGCAGTAACATTGGTTTATAACATTGTATAAATTTCAGATGTACATCATTATACTTCTATTTCTGCATAGATTACATCATGTTCACCACTGAAATACCAATTACAACCCATCACCACACACATGTGCTGAATTATCCCTTTCGCCCTCCTCCCTCCCCCCTTCCCCTCTGGTAAACACCAATCCAATCTCTGTCTCTATGTGTTTGTTTATTGTTGTTATTATCTACTACTTAATGAAGGAA